ATTCTGCTCTCGTGACCCAGTAGTTGTTTATCTCTCTGTTTCTCAGCTTCTTTATTTTCCCTCATTTGGTGTTCTGTATCACTGATTCTCTCTTCTGCCTCATTTATCCTAGCAGTTAGCACCCCCATTTTTTATTGCACCTCATTAATAGCCTTTTTGATTTCAACTTGGTTAGATTTTAGTTCTTTTATTTCTCCAGAGAGGGTTTCTCTAATAACTTCCATGCTTTTTTCAAGCCCAGCTAGTATCTTTAAAATCATGATTCTAAACTCTAGGTCCGACATCGTACTAATGTCCATATTGAGTAGGTCCCTGGCAGTTGGTACTACCTCTTGTTCTTTTCATTGAGGTGATTTTTTCCGTCTTGTCATTTTGTCCAGAGGAGAATAGATGAATGAGAGAACAAAATGCTAACAGGGTAACAATGTCCCCAGAAAATATACTCTAAACAAATCAGAAAAGACCTGAAACCAAGGGAAAAGGGAAAGAAAGAAAAAAGAAAAAGATAAAAACAAACGGAAAAACAGAACAAAACAAAAAAAGCAGAATATGATCAAATATGGTCAGGCTGGTGCATAGATCAGTGCCACACACTAGATTTTGGGTGTATTTTGGTCTATTAGAAGAACATGCCTCCCAAAATTTTAAAGAAAGAAAAACTTGTATATGTACAAAAATAAGGGTTGATACAATGAAGGGATGGAATATGACTGTAAAGATGAAAATTATAAAAAATTTTATAAAAGGAATTGATAGGAAGTTGTTTGAAAAAGAAGAGGATTTTAAAAAAAAGAAGAAAAAAGGAGAGAATGTGATCAGGCAGGAGACTAGAACAAAGCCATACACTAGAGATTTAGGGTATATTTTGATCTGTTCGAAGAAACTGTATCTCAAAATTTTAAAGAGAGAACAACTTATATATATATATGCCAAAAATAAGGGTAACTACTATGAAGGGATAGAATATGACACAAAAAATGAAAAATAAAAATGTTTTTTAAAAAGGATTGATAAGATGTTGGTTGAAAAAGGGAAAAAGAAAAATTAAAAAAAAAAATGTTAAGGGCGCCTGGGTGCCTCAGATGGTTAAGCATCTGCCTTCGGCTCAGGTCATGATCCCAGGGTCCTGGGATCGAGTCCCGCATCGGGCTCCCTGCTAGGTGGGGAGCCTGCTTCTCTCTCTGCCTCTGCCTCTCTCTCTCTCTCTGACTCTCATGAATAAATAAATAAAACATTTTTTAAAAAATGTTAAAAAAATTAACTTTGAAAGACTAAGGAATCATGGTAAAAAAGCCATGAATTCTATGAGCAGTATTCCCCTAGCGCTGGAGTTCTGCTCTTCTCATTGATCGGTAAACTTGGTCTTGGCTGGCTGTTCTTGCTGATCTTCTGGGGAGGGGCCTGTTGCCGTGGTTCCCAAATGTCTTTGCTGGAGGTGGAATTGCCCCGCCCTTGCTGGTCCAGGCTAAGTAATCTGCTCCGGTTTGCTCTCCCCAGCTTTTTCCCTGCAAGCTTTCTGTACAGCTTTGGAGGAGGAAAGTGAAAATGGTTGCCTCCCAATCTCCGCCAGAGGAGCCGAGAACTTGGGCCCCGCTCCTCAGTGCGCCCCCAGGGAAAAGCAGTCAATCACTTCTGTCTCCCTGGTCTCCGGCCTCACTCCATGCTCACCCGGCCTGTGACCGAGCATTTCTATCTCTGGCACCCAACCCCTTGTGGAGTCTCCAATCCCAACAGATCCCTGTGGTGCACTTCCACGCCGCTTCTCCTGGGGGAGGAAGGGGGGTCTCCCCGATCTGCCGCTTGTTGGGTCCCTGCTGGAGGAGCAGTGGCCCAATGTGCCGCAGATCATGGTTTATGGCAACCCCGAGCTGCGACCCTGCTCCTCGGCTCTGTCTCTGCAGCCGGCTTCCCCGCTCCAGTACCTGGGAGCTCTGCTGCACTCAGGCACCCCGGTCTTTCTGTGACCCTGAGGGTCCTGAGTCCACACTGTCCCGCTGAGCCACTGGAGCAACGTCCCTCAGCGGAGCCGACTTCTAAAAGTTCCGATTTTGTGCTCCGCGGCTCTATCACTTGCCAGAAGTGGCCCACGGAGGCCCCCTCCCCCGCCCTATCCTCCCGAATATCGCCTCGGGTTCACTTCTCCGCTCATCCTACCTTCCAGAAAGTGGTCGCTTTTCTGTTCAGAGAGTTGTTGTTATTCTTTTCTTTGATCTCCTATTGAGTTCGTAGGTGTTCAGAATGGTTTGATCCCTGTCCAGCTGAATTCCTGGGACCAGATGAAATCCAGGTCTCCTACTCTGCCATCTTGCTCTGCCCCCCCGCCCATTTTTAACTGGATTATTTGGGGGCGTTTTGGTGGTGCTGTATGAGTTCTTTATATGTTTCGGATATTTAAGCCCTTAATGTATATATCATTTGCAAAAATTTTCTCCCATTCAGTGGAGAAAACTTTTTATCTTGTTTATGGTTTCCTTTGCTCTGCAGAAACTTTTTAGTTTGATGTAGTCCCATTGTTTATTTTTGCTTTTGTTTCCCTTGCCTAAGAAGACAGATCCAGAAAAATATTGCTATAGTTAATGTCTGAGAGATTACTGACTTTTAGGAGTTTTCTGGTTTCAGGTCTTATATTTAGGTCTTTAATCTATTTTGTTTATTTTTGTGAATGGTTTAAGAAAGTGGTACAGTTTTGGGGTACCTGGGTGGTTCAGTTGTTGAGCGTCTGCCTTCGGCTCAGGTCATGATCCTAGGGTCCTGGGATTGAGAGCCCCACATCAGGCTCCCTGCTCTCCGGGAAGCCTGCTTCTTCCTCTCCCACTCTCCCTGCTTGTGTTCCTGCTCTCACTATCTCTTTGTCAAATAAATAAATAAAATCTTAAAAAAAAAAAAAAGTGGTACAGATTCATTCTTAATGAGTGTAGCTGTCCAGTTTTCCCAGCACTGTTTTTCGAAGAAGCTCTCTTTCCCCATTGTATATTCTTGTCTCCTTTGTTGTAGATTAATTGACCATATATGTGTGGGCTTATTTCTGGGTTCTAAATTCTCTTCCATTGATCTATGAATTATTGGGTCAAAGAATATGACATTTTTAATGATTCTTGGTGCATATTGCCAGTTAGCATTCCAAAACGGTACTAGCTCCTTGCCCAAAATCAGGTATTAAATATAATATAAACATAAGACCTGAAACCAGAAAACTCTTAAAAGAAAAGTCAGTAATGTCATACCAAGTCAAAATGTCTTGGTATGTCAAGTTATAGATACAGGTCTAAGTAAGAAAAATAGTAACTGGATATGGAGAGAACAGTAGTAAGATTTAAAATAGATAGGATTTGGGTCATTGTTATTCACCGGTGATAAGTTTGCCTTCTTACCAGAATAATGTAGTAGTTAGAGTTGTGGTTCTGAAGTCAGTATGCCCAGGTTTAAATTCTGTTGTTTCCCATTACTAAACAGGTAAACTAAAACAGGATGCTTAACCTCTGAGTCATTTTTCTCATTTATAAAATTGGGTTAATAATAGTGCTTACTTTATAGGGTTTAATTGATAGTTAATTGAGATATAGTTTATGGTGTTTAGCACAATGCCTGGTCCCCAAAATATTAGCTGATGCTGTTGATAATTAAGTGCTTTGAGACTACATCTATTAATAGCTACCAGAATCCAGATAGACTGTTCTACATATAAAATTGACTGGTTTTCATAGTTCTTGGAGTAACCTGCCAGCTTTGTTCTAAGTAAAATAAAACTGTAGGGGTACTTCTCTTATTTCAGTTATATAAGCATAAGTAGATTGAATAGGATAATGGAAGACAAAGTTTTTCACTGAATTCATAAATGAGGTACTTTTATGAACCACTAAAAATGAATTTAATAGTACATTACTATATCACTTTTCTCTTTGGTCAGTTATTTTCCCATGATAAGTTTTTGCATTGAAGTATGTTTCAAAAGTAAAACAAAAGACATTTGAGAAAATAGAAATAAAAATGGATAGTTTAGAAATAGCTTTTTGGGGGCGCCTGGGTGGCTCAGTCATTAAGTGTCTGCCTTCGGCTCAGGTCATGATCCCAGGGTCCTGAGATCGAGCCCCGCGTCGGGCTCCCTGCTCAGCGGGAAGCCTGCTTCTCCCTCTCCCTCTCCCCCTGCTTGTGATCCTGCTCTCACTGTCTCTCTCTTTCAAATAAATAAATAAAATCTAAAAAAAAAAAAAAAATAGCTTTTTTTCCCCCTCTCCTTGAAAATACAGTGATAATTCAAATTTTACTTAGAGAATGCCAGCCTTTCAGTGTCAGTACTTGATGAGATGATACAGAATTCAGTTAAAATATTGAATGTAATAAGAATAAATTTACAGTAAGTAATAATTTTGCTGATAATGAATTTAGTGAATAAGAAATGTTACTGTTTTAGTATAATCTATAAAAATGTTAGAAATTATTTATCTCTATAGTAAATATTTCAGATTTGAGGAAAGGGTTTGTTTAGAGTTATTGTTTAAGCAATATTTTAAATTTTGCTTAATGTTTAATTTAAATTTATTAAATAAATATTTATTTGAATTTAAATTGATTAAATTTAAATTTGGTTATTTTCTATATGAGAAAGGTCATAGATCCTTAAAATGCATGGATTATAAAGTCTTATAATTCAAAGAAAGTCTGCTTATTTTTAATAATAACCATTACTTATTAGGCTGTAACTGTAGGCTCAGGACTTTATTAAGTATTCAAAATATATTATTTACTTTTATTAATATCACTCATACATATGGTGTTATAATTCTGTATTTTATTTACAGCTATTTTGAGTAATATGAAATAAGTTCTCTTCCTTGTTTTGTAACCTTTAATGTCTTTGTTGTACAAATATTGTGCTTAAATATTATGTGGGATAATTGCAAAATTTCTGATTTGGTGGTATTTAAATATGTATTTTCTTTTTCCATGAGCTTACGAATCTTAAGTATTATATTGATTGACAATTGTTTTCTTTATTGCAGAAACTGTAAGAATAAATGGGTCCAGTAATTGGAATGACTCCAGAAAAGAGAGCTGAAACTCCAGGAGCTGAAAAGGTTGCAGGATTAAGCCAGATTTACAAAATGGGAAGCTTGCCTGAAGCTGTTGATGCTGCCAGGCCAAAGGCCACTCTAGTGGACAGTGAGTCAGCAGATGATGAACTCACAAACTTGAACTGGCTTCATGAAAGTACTAATCTTCTAACAAACTTCAGCTTTGGAAGTGAGGGTCTTCCAATTGTTAGTCCATTGTATGACATAGAGGGAGATGATGTGCCATCCTTAGGACCATCTTGCTATCAGAACCCAGAAAAAAAATCAGCAACTGCAAAGCCCCCATATTCCTTTAGTCTTCTCATTTACATGGCCATTGAACACTCTCCAAATAAATGTTTGCCTGTCAAAGAAATTTATAGCTGGATTTTGGATCGCTTCCCATATTTTGCTACTGCACCAACAGGCTGGAAGAATTCTGTTCGACATAATCTGTCCCTGAATAAATGTTTTCAGAAAGTGGAAAGAAGCCATGGCAAGGTCAGTGTTAATGAACATTGCTGTATTTGGGGAGGTGGGGGAGAATTAACATCAAGACCTTAAAATATGGGGAAACTAAAGGAAGACAAAAAGTAGTCAACTCATAATTACTTCAGTTTTAGCTTAATTATATTCATCATTTGCTTTCATTGAGATGTTTTTAAATTTCTTAAATATTGATATAAATCTAACAATTTCAGTCTACTATAGGACATAAATTAGTTTTCTAATGTTCTAATTTTCTATTCTTAGTTTCTGTAGTGTTCTGTCACTGTATCAATATGTGTTACTTATTTACTCAGTATGACAGTCTGTCTTATAATTGGAATGTAGACCATTTATATTAATGTAATTGATATGGTTGGCTATAAATCTATCATCATGCTGTTTTCTATTTGCTCTATTCTTTTCTCCCACTTTTCCTGTCTTTTTAAGGATTGAGTATTTTTTTATGATTCAGTTTTATCTCTACTATTGGCTTATGAGCTATTCTCTTTTTGGGGGCTGCTGGTGGCAGTGAAGGTTGCTATACACTTTTCAATATATATCTTTAATTTATCACCATTATACTATTACACCACTTATATGGCTTTTCACAGAAAAAGTTGACTAAAATCATGATGCTTATCAGGATCAATTCCTTTTTTTTTTTTTTGATAAGTTTATTTAACATTTCTTATAGTTCAAATCTGGCAATGAATTTATAAGAATCTTTTTGTGGAGGTTAAGAAGTTGTTTTTTTTTTTCTTGAAGGATTTTAAAGATGTTTCTCTCGGGCGCCTGGGTGGCTCAGATGGTTAAGCGTTTGCCTTCAGCTCAGGTCATGATCCCAGGGTCCTGGGATCGAGTCCCGCATCGGGCTCTCTGCTCAGCGGGAAGCCTGCTTCTCCCTCTGCCTCTCTCTCTCTCTGTCTCTCATGAATAAATAAATAAAAATAAAAAATAAATAAATAAAAAAGATGTTTCTCTCATGTTCTGGCTTATATAATGTCTGATAAGAAGTCTGCTGTCATTCTTATCTTTATTCCTCTATAATGTTTCTTTTCTTTCTTTCTTTCTTTCTTTTTTTTTCCTGTCTGACTTCTATGACTTCTCTTTATATCACTACTTTTAAGCAGTTTGACTGTGGTGCGCCTAGGTGTGTTTTTCTTTATTTTTATTCTGCTTTGGTTTTTCAGAGGTTCTTGGATCTGTGATTTGTTGTCATTTATTAAATTTAGAAAAGTTTTGTTCATTATCTCTTCAAATATTTCTGTGGCTCACTTCCCACTTCTCGCACTCCAAGTAAAAATATGTTAGACCATTTGCTATTGTCTCACCTCTTATTTCCTCTGCCCTAGTTTCTACTCTTTTCTCTCTTTGTTTCAGTTTGGATCATTTCTTTCAGTCTTTTATAGGTTTAGTCTTCCCTCTGTTGTGTTCATTCTGTCGATAAATCTGATAAAGAACTTCTTCCTATTTATCATTTCTCGCATTTTCATTTGCCCGCCCCCCCCCTTTTTTTGGCAGCAGAGCAAGGTTTATTGAGCAGTAGTAAAATTATGTACAAAGCTCCCGAAGAGGGAGGGAACTCAAGAGGGTTGCCCTTCATTTGCCTTTTTAAAAGTAGTTTCCATCTTTTTGCTAAAATTTCCCACCAGATCCATAAACATATTAATTATAGATATGGTATATCTTCTGGTCCATCTTTGCGTCTGATTTTGTTGACTGTTTTATCTCCTGTTTTTGTGTGTGTTTCTTAATTTTGGATTAAATGTCAAACATTGTTTGTAAGAGAAACATGCCTCTACTTCTGTCAGATTGTTAGCATGAAACAGGTATTGGTCAATCTAGGTAATAATTGGTCTAGGTTTAGGTTTTGTGCTTGTCATAATTACCTTCTGAGTACCACAGGCTTCAAATTCATACAGAGATGGACTGCTATTACTTTGTGCTTAATGTGAGTCCTGGAGTGTCAGATGATTTTTCTCAGCATTTCTGCCTTACCTTCATCTTTCAGCTTGTGATATATTTGGAGGCAGGAAGGGAGTTAGATATTTCTCTCTGTGCTCTTGCCCCTCCCATAGCAATTGCTTTTTACTTAGTATGAGGCTCTTGGGATGGGAGCAGGAGTTTCTTGATTCTTCTGCTCTAGTTTTAGTATTAAGCAGGCTTTGTATGCCTTTGTCTCAAAAGTAGGACTTTCCTTGCCTTCCCGTGGAGGAGACGGTCTCTTCCATCTACTCAGAGTGGAGTCTAGAGCTGTAATCATCAGTAGCCAGTTATCTACATGTGGCTAGTGGTTGGCATATTGGACAGTATAGATATATGATCTTTCTGTCATTGTAGAAAGTTCTATTGGACAGCATTGCTCCAGAGCTCAGGCCAATTTCTTGCTTATTCCCTTCAAGGTAGATAAACTCTGCCTAGTATCAATGGGAGGTCCTGGGTACAAGTAAGTTACCATTTCCTTTCTCAGGGGCAGCAGATCTCTGCTTTGTATCATCTGGGCATGAGCAAATTTCCTGCCTATTACCTAATGACACATGGCCATTGCCTAGTGTCAGTAAAGTGTGAGGATAGTTGAGTGTTGTATTTTTCCCCAGCAGTAGCCATCCTTTACCTGGGAGTGGGGTGAGGAGGGTGTTTGCCTCTCTTTCAGTGGCAGACAGCTTTTGCTTCATAGTGGAGCTTTGTCCAGCATGTAACCAGGTTGTGTGACTGTCCCACAGTGACACCTGATCTCATCTTATGGTCATTTAAAGTCTGGAATATGGATGAGATTTGCCTGATATCCTTGTTCCAGCCTTAAGCCTTAGTATGTTCTGCACATCCATCACCATCTCCAAGTGTGTCTCTCTTAGGTCTCCTGCCCTGTCTAAAGTCTTTCTATGGAGCACTGGATGGAGGCCTGTAGAAAAATGCTGGCTAGTAGATGCAGACCCTTCTGTCTGGAAATGCCAAGGATACTAAATTATCTTGCTGGCTCACACTTGGCTTTTAAGAATTTGTTGTTGTTTAAACATTTTATTTATTTATTTGAGAGAGAGAGACACAGACAGAGAGAGTGAGAGAGAGCACGAGCAGGGAGGAGAGGGAGAAGCAGGCTCCCCACTGAGCAAGGAGCCTGACTCAGGGCTCTATCCCAGGACCCTGGGATGAAGGCATACGCTTAACTGACTGAGCCACCCAGGTGCCCCTGCTTTTAACAATTTGTTAAAATTTGAGTCTTTTTTTTTTTAACCTTATTTTATGACTGCCACTTTTTCTGTGCTCTCCCAAAGGTAAAACAGTTCATATGTTCCATCTCTCCTAACAAGGTCCTGTCACACTTTAGAATTCAGTTCTTTCAGTTGTCTTATGGTCTTAGCTCTCAGATGAGCTCATAAAAAATTATGATTTCGTGGATTATTTGGTTTTTTTCTTGTTAGGCTGGTAACTGTGTTCTCTAATGGCTTCCTATACTCCCAAATGGTAGCAGAACTCTCCTATTCTTATTTTGAATAAAAATGAAGAGCAAGTAATTATGTTTTTAAGTGACTGAAGGATTTTTCTAAGATAGTGCTGTTCAAACTTAAGTGTATTCACTGATATCTGGGGATCTTGTTAAAATACAGATTCTGATTCAGCAAATCTGTGGTGGAGAGTGAGACTCTTTCTTTTCTAACAGGCTCCCCATTGATCCTGGTGCCATTAGTCCATGAGTAGCAAGACATTAGGATATATCGTCATCTATCATCATCTTACAGCTAACTTAAGGAGGTTGTATTAGTTATCTTTTGTAACATATTGCTATCTAACACATTGTCTACTACACATGGAATATTTATGAAGACCAACTATGTGTTAGGCCATTAAAAAAGCCTCAGTAATTTCAAAGGTTCAATGTCTGTCATAGACAGCCTCCAAGAGGCCCCCAAATGAACCCTACCTTCCACTGTTCTTGCCCTTGTAGAGTTCCCTTCAGTAATGAATAGGGCTGACCTGTGTAACCAAGAGGATATTGTGGAAATGATGGATCATGCCTTTTGAGGCTAGGTGATAAAAGGTACTATAGTTTCCATCTTGGGCTCTTGGATAACTAGCTATAGGGGAAGCCAGATGCCATATCATATTTAAGCAGCCTTATGGAGAGGCCTATGTGTCAAGGAAATGTGGCCTTCTGCCAACAGTTGTGTGAATAAGCCATCTTGGAAGCAGATTCCCCCAGCCTCAAACTTTCCTTTCAGATGACTAAAGTTTTAGGAATGTTGGATATGTTCTTTCCAACATGTATTGTTGGATTTTATTTTGAATTATATCACTTAATTATTTTCTAGTTTTAGACCTATTGTGTTTATGCTTATGGTGGGACATAAAAGGAGAACTGTCTGTTAGGTACTTAGAAATATACAGGAGTAGTGGTAATGTGGGATTAAAGCTCTAAATTTGGAAGTCATCAGCACTGATTTGCAGTAGAAAAATCTAGGAAAAGTATATTGTAGTGGAAGCAAAGGAGGGTAAATTTAAGTGTGAATGAGCAACAGTATCAAATGTTGCAGAAATCTTAAATGATTGGTTAAGAAGAAGTGATTGAGACAACTAAGAGCCAACAGATGAGGATTCAAAATATGGTGTGCTGGTATATGTGGGATGGGGATTGAGTAGGGATGGGGATATAGCTTTTGTAAATTCTCAAGGTATAAATATTTCCATCATGGCCAGTTTCAAACTACCAACATTCTGTCATTAAATGTGAAGTTGATAGGAGATGTTTATAATGAGCAGTACGCCACTGTGTGTAAAGAATTAATCTAATTCAATAAGAAAAAGAAAACTAATTAAGAAATGGGTAAGAATATGAATAGGCAGTTAACAGAGGAGGAAATACAAATAGCCAATAAGCATGCAGAGATATTTATCCTCACTAGTAATCAGGGACATACAAACTAAAAGAACCCACAAAAACAGTTGTACCCCATTAGAATGCAAAAATTTTAAATGATAGTATCAATTTAGATAAGGATAGGGGAAATAATACC